GTAAATACGAGTAAAAAAACTACATGCAATATTACAATGAAAACTACAGAAATTAACTATCTTTTACTGTGTCATTACATGTCTGGTATACTTTATTCTGGTCATCTCTGGTATACTTTATTCTGATTGGTCAATAGAGAGCTGCATTCGTGACATCGAACCCAGAAGACTAATTAGCCATGGGTGCCCTCAAAATTCTCCTGTGGGTTTTTATAATTGGGTTTTTCAATTCATAAGTAAAATACGGTTTGTGGTATACGCAACTTAACAATACTTGGATGTTTTTTTTTGTAAACTGCAAACACTCGCACACCAAACATTCTTATGTAATTACTCATTACAAACAAATGAACATAACTGCTTCAAAATTCATGTTTTCAGTGTGGGTATGTGTGTAATTTACATTGTAGAGCAAAATGCCATCAATTGAAAGTATCACCAATTGATATTTACCACAGATCTTGTTTTACTCACAAATCGGGTACAAATATACTATATGGGCGGTAATATAGTTATCGTTACTGACATTAATCAGGTTTGACGATATTGAATTTAACGCAGATGAAAACGAAGCTGTGAGGAATACACCTACAGTCTTTACACACTGTATTAACATCCTAGATCAAGTCATTTTCACAAATCACAACTTTCAAAACTGTTCTATGGAGCTTTTGTCTACTGAAAGACATTTCATCAACTGAACAATCGGTATGTTGTTAAACAACAGTTCAATCCATTGAACGCACTGTACTTCTGTCCCTCACAGCCTCGTTTTCATTCCTGTCAAAAATTAAATATGGCGCTACCATGACTAACATCTACAGCTATCGTTCTTGGTGTGAACAAGCCGTCAAACCTTAAAACGCTCTTGTTTAAACCTCTAACCCAAGGTTAGCACCACTAATAATAAAAAAAACATTTCCTTGAAAGTCATTTGCCATACAGGAAGTAATTTCATAATTCTAGTCAAAGCATTTACACCTCGCTTAATTAAATCACAGAACATTTCCTGTTACTTAAGCCCACACTTGGCCTTCCATCCATCTCTAATGCGTTTCTCTCTCCCCTCCGAGATGCATTGTCTGAGTACCACTACATTGGACACGAGATAGCTGAAGGTGCGCCTTTGCTTTTGTTGCCATCTTAATTGATGGTGTGGCTCAGATGGGTTCTCCTGTTTCTAATGGAGTGAGGAGAACACAGCTTTGATGAAGTCTCGCTAGCCTCCTCCTCTTTCCTCTCCAACAAAGACAGAGAAAAAGATGCTCCTTAATTACAGAGACTCTGTTCATGTCAGACACACATGAGGGAAAACAAATCCATCCCTCCAGCATGTTATTTGTGTATCTGTCGTTTAATTTATATATTTATGAAACAAATGTTGGACATGGGGGGAAAAAAGGAAGAATGCCGATGGGTATCATTTAAATTGTGCAAAGCAATATTTTATGTTAACCCCGGTAATTAATGTTGTGGGAAAACAGAAAAGGAAAAGAATCACTTTGTTGTTCAACTAGGCAATTTGTAAAACCCCTTCAGAAGTTTTAGCATATAAAACAGCATCATATGGAGTCCCAGTATCTAAAACTCAACTAAAGTATGAAGCTATATGGCGATGACATATAGTGTGCTGGCCATCAAGGGCCCGCCGCCAAGAAAATGACAGGCACCTTCAGTAAATCCTGAGGGAATTCATTAGGAAGCATGTAGCACAGCTCCTTCAAAAGCCATTTGTGAACGTCTCATGGAATTTGAGCGCCAACTGCTTTGCTTTCTGGAACTAAAAGAATCCTGCATGAAACAAGGCCGTTTAAACTTCTGAATAAACAGCTTCGTACTCAGACGGTACCTCACACTCGTCTATAGCGGATACTGGCAAATTCCTTTAAGCAATATTCATTTGCCACGAGTTCATTTAAAAGCCAATGGAGCTTCTAACCAGTCATTTATTACCGCAGCTCAATCAACGTGATTGCACAGTGTGTCCAAATTAATAAGCAAAGACTTGGAATGCGAGGGGCAACTTGCAATTTGGTGTTTGTTTAGCTGTAGCTGCTTGAAAATGCATCTCGTTCATACACAAGCTCTTGTCTAATGCAATAGCACTGCACTCAGTTTTAATCTTAATTTAGAGGCCAAGGGCAAACACATCTGCCATTGCTAAATACAGTCTACTCTGACTAAAAGCATTTTGATGATCACTGGCCTCCTTCACTGGAACAACCAAATTAGTGTACAATTCTGCTGGATTCAGTGAATCATATTCTAGTGGCTTTTCTGGGAATGGATACATTCATATATTCGAATTTAATATGCAGAATAAAATATTTTATTTATAGAGTACTTTTCAAGATACTCAAATATGCTTTAAAAGAGATCATTCAAATGCAACTAAGCATATAATCTCGTATTCAGATGAGAAAAAGGTTCTTAAAAAAGAACATTTTATTACTTTTGAATGAAAAAAAAAAACTTTTTGGTGCTCTGTTGGGTGACCACATGACATACAAATGTCAAATCTCAAGGCAAAGCCAGATGAGAACCACTGCTCTGACCTTTCTAATTTAAAGTAGGAATAGTTAAACTAATGCAAATACTAATTATGATCTCAGAGATGCTTTAGAAAACAAATTCAAAGTTATCTATTATACCCTACAAACCAAAATACCGCAAAATCAGTTGTAACAAAAAGCATGACAGATAAATGGCGGATTAGTCTACCATTTGATAAGTGGAAGCGTATTTATAAATAATATGATTTGACCTTTCAAAGGGCAAGTGATTGCAATGGAATAATTAAAGTACAATTGTGTCATTAAATCTCAGCTATTTCAAAAATCAGCTCATTTATGCAGCATGAAAATAAAGCTCTCCACAAAACTATGAATATAAATCTTTTTTTGTTGTTGTTGCCAATTTCACTAGCTCTAGTTTTTATAAATATAAAAATAAATATAAAATACTTGAACATTGAACAGGGCTCATACTTCACAGCTTTATTAATCTGAACAGTTCTATTCTCAAAAGAAATCCTATTTAATTATATATATATATATATATATATATATAGCCTATCCCTATAGTTTGCATTGTCTTGCAGTCTCCAATCATAAAAAAAAAAGAAATACATTTCAGCAAAATTATGAGTAAGGAACATGTGAGAATACATTATCCTAAAATATTCACTCAGAACAGAGGGTGCTATATAATAATGCATTATTCAAATACTCAAATTTTATGAGATGTTCTGGCACACGACAGATTTCTGTGGCCGCTTTCGTTTCTAACTAAAACATTACTGCCACCTAGTGTTAAAGAGTGACTAGAGACCTTCAGTCTGCACATACATAAGAAACAAATCTTTCGTCTACTAACATGGATATTAAATTAATTATTAAGGCTCTGTATTCAGTCTGTGTAACAAAATGGCCTGTCACATGTCACTACGACTTTCTCAAATGAGGAATTTCTGATTATAGCATTGAATACTACACCATTAAGCATTCATATCCCTAAGAATAGCAGCAAAAATTTGGAGCAGCTGCAAAAAGCCGGTCCTCTGATTTCCTTCCTCTACGGCAGATATTCTTCCAGACTGACAAAGCTGACACACACACACACATATCACTCTCTCTGCATTATTCAATTAAGTCTGTCCCTATCTTCACTAACATGCTTTTGATTCACTGCTGCCTCTCACAAAAATACGAGTTGTCAAAGCAGCAGGCTAGCGTTTTTAGACTATTATGCATGTCAGTCTTCAATCTCTGGAAGGTCAACTGTGTTGTTCTTGCGGCAGAGGGGAGGAAGGCAATCACAGTCATATATCACATTCTCACCGAGGCGCTTTCTGCGTCTATAGGGACGGTGTTTATCTCCACCGACTCGAGATAACACCTTTTATTGTGGCAGTGATGTCAAAAAAATGGCATCATTATGACTATGGAATCAAGACCGACTGCTCGTGGTAGAACTGTTGTTGATTGATTCTGGTTCTCGGGGGTTTTTTAGACAGATTTGATACATAATGACCTCATGCAAAGGGGCGTCCGAATAGATCAAGCATGTTGTGATGGTATCTTGTGATATACCCATGCAGTGTTATCATATTTTTACTCCCACGTTTTACATAATCAGATCTGATTAAGTCCATGAAGAGCTCAGTAAAGTGATTGCAGACTTGAACTTTAAATATAGAATACATTTATAAGCATTTATATATTATGTCAGTTTACCTCTTAAAACTCCTTTTTTTTTTTTTAAGTGTGATTTTGCCATATTATTATTGCCATTAAATTACATTTACATTTAATCATTTAGCAGACGCTTTTATCCAAAGCGACTTGCAAATGAGAAGAGCAAATAGAAGCAACTCAGACCAATAGGAGGGCATTAACATTTTTTAAATGTGTTTTAAGTGTCAAAACCTTTTTCTGGGCCTCTTTTGCCTCTCCTATGTATAGTATTTTACTACAAAAAAAATCTAACATTAAATAAAAAATGCAATTTCATATTTGTATTTTCTTTTAGTAGTTTGTTTCTTTTAGAAATTAAAGTAAAATTGCATATATAAATTTTTTTTATAAATAATAATTTAATACATTACTAAAAGAACATTAAAATATTAAATTATAATATATAAAATACCCAAAATATATGTATAAATAAATAAATATCTAGTAAACAGCATATTCTACCAGCATCAGAAAGTAGAGAACAACACGTACCTTTGTCGTCTTCAAACGGCCTTCAGAACATGAATGCAGAGTGTGTGTGTGTGTGTGTGTGTGTGTACAGTACATTTATGTATGAGCTTTTGAGCAACCAAATACTGTTGGTGTTTGTGTAACATTTGCTATGTAGATTACAGCGTGCTCAATTAATCTTTCATAGAGTGAGTCCTTGTGATCATTAAAATTGTGTAAATGAGTGAACCAAAGAGTGAACTAAACAAAAGAAAGAGAGGATGTGGAAATTGCACGGGATGGAAGGTGACTTACGGTCATTACACTGTGTCCCCGTGTAGGAGGTCATTGAGCAGTCGCAGGTGTAGTTCTCCCATTGCTGGATGCAGATGCCCATGTTGGCACAGGAGTCTTCTTGGCATGTAGTGCTAGGACCTATGGTGGCAAAGCACAGCAATGTAATACTGGGGGCAAACATCCCGTCATGCTGTTAAGGTGCCATGCAGGTGAGTGTAACAATATACATGCAGTTTGGGTTAGTAGAGGTAATCAAAAAACATCCCGAAAGCTGTCAAACAAACGTGGCATTCCCTATAAACGATTGGATTTTAGTAATAAACATCATACTCTAGACATATTCAACATAGCTTGTTACAGAAGTAGATTCAAACACGGGGCCAAGCATGAACTTTCTCACATCTGCACAGATGAACAAAGGTCAATGACAACATTTAATAGTGAGATGTGTACACAGTCCAGTATGTACTATTGTTACACATGTTAAGAACAATAGTGTGCACACCAGCCACGTGCAATCGAGTTGAGCATGTTCCAAACACATCTTGTGTTTTGGCACACTTGGGCTCAATTTTGAGAGAATGCAGCAAGAACAATAGAGCTCATTACCCAATTCAGAGCAAGAGGGTGAATGCACTCCCCCTGAATTAACCGTGTAAACAAGATAATTGCAGATAAACTGGCTTTGAGTGCATTTTTCTTGTGAAATACAACTGTGAGAACAATAGTTAAGCACAAACATAACATTTAGTGTAACAAAAGGGGGAGAAAAGAAGGCTAAAAGTGCATTTACTGTGCAACGCAAAGTGCAGTACTTCAGTACTATGTAAAAGTTCAACATAAAATGATTCACCCCAATTTGTTGACTATCAAAACTGCAGATAGGATTTCGAATGGAAAATCACAGTGAGCCTATACTTCAAGACAGTTCTCTCTGATTTTTTATTCACATCTTTCAGCCTTAATTCAGTAGCACATTAACATATTTACATGGGATACGGTCAAATTACATCACATTATGCGAACTGGCCTTAGTCCGACAATATTAGGGTATTTTTGGTTTAAGTTTCTGTACAGATTTACATAGTAAAAAACTTCGTTCCAGTTCACTAATTTGGTTAGATAATAGCCAAGGGTGCTGATAAGGGTCATTCATTTTATGCAGTGCATTGTAATTTTCCCATTATATAATACAGTTCAAAATTTGGGGTCGGTAAGTTTTTTTTAAGTCAAATATACAGTAAAAACATTGATAGTGTGAAATATTATTACAATTTCAAAGAAAAGTTTTCTATTTTAATATATTTTAAAATATAATTTATTCCTGTGATGCAAAACTGAATTTTCAGCATCATTTTACTCCCGTCTTCAGTGTCACATGATGCTTCAGAAATCATTCTAATATGCTGATTTGGTGCTGAAAAAACATTTATTATCAATGTTGCAAACAGTTATGCTACTTAATATTTTTGCTGAAACAGTGCTTTGATTTTCTCAAGATTCTTTGATTTAATAGAACATTCAAAAGAATAACATTAAATTGACAGTATTTATATACAGTATTTACTGACACTTTTGATCAATTTAAAGCATCCTTTCTTAGTAAAAGTATTAAATTTCTTTAAAAAATTATTATTACTGAACTCTAACTTTTGAACGGCAGTGTATTAATATACAATATTAATACACTGAATATAATATTAAACTCAGAATGTTTATTAATTTATTGATTTTACCACAGTATCACAGTGAAGTGAACCCCAGTTAAAATACATTGGAAAATATAATAAACTGCCAAATTATGAGGAACTGTATTCAATAAATGTCCCTGTTTTTCCTTTCTATACTCAAAATGTTTTCAAGACAACATGTCTTGAAACTGATTACTGGTTAAATATACACACACAAAAAGCTGACATCCATGTAACTTAACTCTTTTTCCTAACCAGTTTCTGTAACTTCTTTGCCATTGTATAAATACTTACAGAGCTGAAACTGCAACACCAGTACATTAACTTCTTACATTAACAAGTACGATAATTTTTTGTTCAATATCTTGCATGTACTGCATAACAGGAATGACCCGCAACAATGTAGGAGCAAAAATACTGGGTCACATTGGGTATAAAATGTTAGTGACTTCATATAAATGATTTACCCTCAGCTGTGATGATATTCACTTCAACAGCAAGCTACTTATTTGTGATGTTGCTTAAATAATAAAGTGGAAATCACATCTGTTTGAGTTTACGTGCTCTGTGGGACGTTATCTGAGCTTAAAGTCTACGGTAGCGTGCCGACATTTCCAGATGGATTTTCATGCTAATTCTATTAAATATTTTGCTAATCATATTGCTGTTCAGTGCATCTAAAGACGAGCGAGAAGTAACCCATGGTGAGATACTTAATGGATTCTCCTAAACCAGATTCCTCTCTCAGCTGAACGTCGTTAGCGTAAAAAAGAAACAAGACAAGATACAGCAAAACAGGACGTGGGGACTTAATTATACAGGAGGGCTCATGTTTTATTAATGTAGACTCTCAGTTGGAACCATTACTTTTCTCTTCTCACTTTGCAAGTCTCACGACCTTCAGTAAAAAACACAAGGGCATTTTTGTTTTAGAAAGAAGTGAACCATTTTATACCAAGACATTGTTACAGTGAACCAGCTAGTGTCCGCTTTATGTCTGGGTTTTGGGAAGAGTACATAACAAACCGGCACAAGACAAAACTGCAGCTTTCAGCCGAACTCAGAATGGAATTGAACCTTATATACCTTGTAGATCTGCTTTGGTGAAACCAACTTTGTTAAGCAAGAAACAGAAAAGCGAAAACAATCAAACAGGTAAGAAAGTGGTCGATGGCTTCTGTTAATAAAGCAATGGCTTTACTAACAGGGCATGCTATACCATTCTTAGGAAGGGTTTGTACTCTTGAGTTACTGCACCATGAGTTAGAAATTATAATGATAGTTATGAAACTGATGGGTTGATTCAGCATGGCTTGGTTGAAAAAATGAGTAATGGCACTCAATGAAAGTATTTAGTTGCAAAAAAAAAAAGATGCTAAAAGTAAATAAAAACTGCAGTTTGCTATGAAATTGCGCCTGTAAAATGATCTCATTTACAGTTTTAATATATTCAGCCAATAAACATGCAGAAAAATCAGGCTTCATTTGCATATTCTATTCTAGTCCACTGTTCTGAAGGCAAAAATGTTAAAATGACTTTCAAATGCAGAGTATGGGCATGATAATTTGCTAATGCTAACGTAAATCAACTGTTAAGACTGTATAAAGCAAGCTGTTAGAGAGGGGACATTTTAATGATGTTGCGTTCTGTGAAAACAAAATGTTCCCCTGCATTACTGCAGCATGTAATCGAGCCCTCGCCTTCCTAAGCACAGGTGCATCATTGCCATCTGGTGGATGAAAAGCTTCATTACAAAAAAATGGCGCATTCAATGCCACATGAACCAGCAAAGGAATCTGTTGCCATTGTGGAGCCATTCCATACACGGCTTACAGTTTTACTGTGCACAAACAGTACAGTACAGAGTGATGTTTCATTCATGCTGGGCTGTGAACATAAAAACCTACTCACGTTCACTTTTGGATGCTGTGCGGGAGAGATAAACGTGAAACACACACACACACACAAGTTGCTCTATTCATGTATGAAATGAAGAACTGAATTCAAATGGTGTCGGTCGGGTATGTCTGTTTATAAAATATGACAGATAGCCTACATCTTAAAGATGTCTAGCACGTCAGCTATATCAGACGATCTGGTTGTCCTGAAAATATGTGGAATTACATGTTAAAGATATTATTTTCTTCGGATCTCACAATAGGGCTTTTCACACTTGAAATAGGTCATTTGCCATTCACACTGCTCATTACCCTGGATTAACAAATAATTCATAAACTGACGTTTCACACTGTAAATTCATAACAGGGTTTTCAGGTCTGTGAAACAAAACCATCCCAATTGCTAATCAAAACTAACCCATTCATGTTGTTTCCTGCGGTTTTCCCCTTCACCAGGGTCCCCTCCCGTCAAAATCTCGTTCCGGGGAGATCACTTTAACCCGCGGACTTGGCAACCCCGATTCAATCCCCGGTAAAGTTCTCATTTGCATATTGATTGGATGAACGCTGCACGCAGTGTTGCCAAACCCGTGGAACTGGGATACTTTAACACTGTTGCCGGGGATAGTTTTTCACGTCCGCGGTTTGAAGCCACCCCAATAACGTGGTATTTAGCCCTTGGAATGCGAATTTTACCAGGGGAACCCCGCCAAAAAAACGTGTATGTTACCCCCGGAACAGGGGACCCCCTCGAAACAGATTGAGCTAGTTTCCTGCTAGTTTTCAGTAGCGATTGGGCGGGTTTTGTTGTGGAAACCTGGCAACCCTGCCTTTGCTCATCATATTATTGCCGACTGTACCATCAAGTTTTTCATGAATGGATTTTTGTTTGTTGGGCTATCAAGGTAAGAATAAAACTCTTCTTCATTCCAATTCAAATATTTTCTGTCAACATTTGACATTTTCCCCTTAAATGCTGAAACAACGCGCTGTATCCGTGACTGTCAAGTGAATATTTATGAGGCATGTGATTGTATTTGTTGCTAATTAGGTTCTAGCCCTAATAAAAAAAATAAATAAATAAAAAAACCCACCTCATTTCACACTGTACTCGTTTGACCGTGTAAAAACAGTTCCATAACCCCGAGTAACAAGCGGCGCTAAACCCGTGAAACGTACCTTTATGCGGGGTTAAAGGCGAGGCTTAGAACGACGATAACCCAGGGTTAAGCGCAGTGTGAAAAGCCCGTAGGCTCTGAAAGTTTTAATAGTAATGGGCAGCTATAAAAAGTTGTTGAGAAATCATATCTTTATGGTTTGCACGCTGATATTGAAGAAGGGGGAGGAAAACAAAGAAAAAAAAAACAAGGTTTGCATGTTTTAAATTGTGTACGCTTTGACATTAAACCATTAAATGTGCATTAGTTTAGAGGAAAAAGACATTTTCATATTTGTTAAGACCTGTTGTGTTCATAGACTAGTAGCTTTTTGTCTTAAGAAAACAGTCCCAAACTTCTGTATGTGATTATCAAGCATGCTGACATTGACATTTCACACTCACTCAGTGGACTCAAGCAACAAAACATGAAGATGATACAACAAAAGACCAAACGATTTAGATTGATACGATTTTATTCTTGATTCAACAACATGTAAACGTAACATGTAGGATACTCAACATAAAGGGAGGCGTTTTGTTCAAGACAACATTGAGATGAATGATGGAATTGAGATGGACAATTAATTTTGTGATGGATGGACAGGTCATATAAATGATTATACATAAAGTTTTACGCAAACAAGACTATAATAAATCAAATAAAGAACAAGACAACACTGAGAACAAAAAAGTGAAAGGCAAAATAATAATAATTTAAAAAAATAATAAAAACGATAAAAATAACCAACCAACCAATCAAACAAACAAATAATGTCAAGAAAACAAAGACATTAACATGCACTGAAATATGGCAGAGATCTCATATACATAAGAGAATGGATATTTGCAATGAGTAAGTGAAGAAATATTCTTGTATAGATCTTAAATGATCTGTGTTCTGATCTTTTGGACATATTTGGCATTTAACATACAATAATTTGCTGTGATTGAAGCTTTGATGCTGGTTATATGACCATAATATCTGCACTTTCATTTAACTGACACTCAGCTTCCGTTAAAATATGTCAGATTCTTACATAATTTGTATTTCAAAATATTTTTGTAAACTTTTAGATTTTCTTTGTTTTGTCTTTTTTTTTATTCTGATATAGGATGGTATATATATATATATGTATATATATATAATTAAATAACAAGTAGTCAAATGCACAGAGACTTTATGTAATTATTTCACACAATATTCTATATTATGTTTATTTCACTCCCATCCAAAATATATATTCAAAACTTGTCTTTTACAAATAAATAATTTTTATTTATATATACCATATATATATACACTACCATTTAAAAGCTTGGGTTCATTACGATTTTTTTTATTGTTTTTGAAATAAGTCTCTTATGCTCACGAAAGCTGTTTGATCAAAAATACAGTAAAAACTATTAAATACAAATATTTTTGAATATCATTACAATTAAAAAATAACTGTTTAAATATATTATTCCTGGTATGGAAAAACTGAATTTTCTGCATCCATTACTCTAGTCTTCAGTGTCACATGATACTATCAATGTTGAAAAAAGCCGTTCTGCTCAATACTTTTGTAGAAACCATAATCCATTCCCCCCCCCAGGATTCTTTGATGAATAGAAAGTCAAAAAGAACAGCATTTATTTGAAATCTTTTGTAGCGTTATAAATCTTTACTGTCACTCTTGATCAATTTAATGCATCCCTGCTGAATAAAACTTACTGAGCCCAAACATTTGAATGGTACTTTATATATATTACAACATATTTTATATAATTACTTAATAGCTGCCCATATTCTTGTATTATTTTTAATGGTTTAAGGTCAAAACACATCAGATCAAATGCATAAAGTTCAAAATACTGTAATGTAAATATTCCCTCTGTAGGTAGGTTTGTAAAAATATCACTAATTCATACAAACAAAGACTTGGCTGATCCTAGCATGACCAATGTGGCCAATAAGAATATTAATAAGCCAGTGGGCTCAACAGAGAGCTGACTGGGTGAGAGATGAGACAACCAGGGTGAGAAAGATGGAGTGATGTCTCAGTGAGGTGGAGGTGGAACTACTGTTTGCATTCATGAGAAAGAACGGGCTCCTCGAGCTAGAGTTGTAAGAGGGTGTACCTTCACATCCTCGCTCGATCTGACCGCTGCGGAACACGGCATCGTTTATGAGGTCGGGAAGGCGTCCATTCAGGTCCACAGATGCCAGGCAACCCTTAAAACCGTCCCTAGAGGCCACAAGTTTCGGCAGGTTGTTATACATGTTGGGCCCCAATCCGGCGATGTAGAGGTCACCTGAGCAGACCGCAGATACAATAGATGCCCAGGTAAACAAAGTAGTGATTAGACTGTGAACGGGGGCATGAGAATATATTAATTTTAGATGATTACGTACCTTTAAGGTCCAGATTTTTAGCGCCATTGATGCCTTGACTCACTGCCTTGGCATCGACTTTGAGCGTGTGGACGTTACTGTTGTCTCTAGTGATGACAACGTTATGCCACTGGTTGTCATGGAGAGCTCGGTCACTGTTGCCCTTGATTACATTGGGCCCGTTGCCAAGATCAAACACATAATGTATGTACCTAAAAGACAGAAAAGTGAAGTTCAGTTTACAGGGAGAGTAGAAAGGCCATATCATATTCTATTCCAACTTTCAGTTTTATAAACATGTCAATTTGAGATATGCTCATTGTAGGTATATTAATTTTTACTCTCCACTTCTCTTTTTTTATAACAAAGCAAACTGATATGAAATCTTTTTACTTTTTAGGCTTTTTACGAGGGGGTGGATAAATCTTAAAAGATACCACAAGAGATTGAACAATATCTTATTATCACTGATATGGTTCATTGATATGAATTTTTATGATCAAGTGCATGTTATACAGAAACAATTTTTGACCCATTTTTTTTTACTACAACAACAGATGCATTATGAATATCATTACAATTATTGTTATGTATGCCATTATATTTATTTGAAATTGCTTTGTGATCTAAATGATTGCAAATATATTTTAGCTTTGTTTTGGGCTGATTTTTATTTAAACAACACATTAAATAAGTTCCTTTTCCTGTGAATACTGTTCTGGCCTAATAAATAATGTAATTTCTCTGTTGACTCTATATTAAATTAAATTATTGATTGTCGAGAATTATATTATCGGTCTATCCCTAAACAACATAAATAAATAAATAAAAACCTTTCTTTCTTTCAGGTCTTCTTTTATCCAAACAATATATTAAATAAGTTTCTTTACTTGTGAATAGGCCTGGGTAAAAAATATAGATTTCTCGATTTTAACAATATCGATTCTTAAATCCGAAGAATCGATTAGTCTAGCCTGTTTTCAGTTAATGAAGGGAACATTGTAGCGTGACTTTCATCCAATAAATCCCATAAGCTTTGTGCTTTATTACTTTTGATATGAAACAAAGTCCCAGATTTCAAATTCTGTCCATTTTATTGCAGTATCCAAACAATAAATGCCATTTTGGTGCTGTTTAATGTGGAGTGACAGATCCTTGTAGCACCTCATTTCAAGAGAAGCGGCAGCGCAAAGCGCTTGTGAACTAATCATCAACTCCACTTTAATACCAGGTTCAGCACGAAATAAACATGAATAAAATCTGTATCCTGTCTTATGTAATCACTCAATCAGTGTTTCAACCGTGCAAATATGTCAATATAACAGCTTGTATGTCACGTAATGTCACATTTACCTCAGAAAAATATCATTCAAAAATATTAGTTAAACCAATTATCAGTCTATGTCTAGACTCCACAAAAAAAGGAAATTACCTGAAATTTTCTTTCCTTACAATCTTTCTTACAAAACAAGGCAGAATATATGGTCTTGCTTATAGACTTCTAGTTTACTTGCCTCAATGACTGTATGCTGAAAAGGTTTAGTTTCTAAAATGCCAGACGACACTTTTTTTAATCTAGTTCTTCCTCATAAGTGTTAATTGAAGCAGTTTGTTACCTTGTAAACACTTTTACTGGCAAGGTAAAAAACTAAATAAAGTGGCCATTTCTTCAAGAGGCTTACCCTTTCACCAGCTCTACAGCGATGAAATCGCTTCCATCCCCACTGTTGAAGAGGATGAATCCATCTGGAGAGGTTGTCTTGAACTGGAAGAAAAGGTGCATGGATGTGTAAGCCTGCAAGGTCGCTAGACTCAGGTAACTGCTCTTTGACTTGAACGTCACGGGGTCTGCGATGATAGAGCGCATGCCAAAGCGAGCGTTGAGCTCGCAGTAGTCGATATCGCCGTTCTTGCACAGGTCGATGTAGAGCATGCCATTGAACTTGAGGCTCTGCAGGTGACCGATGAAACTGGAGGGGATCATGGAGACGAAACGGCGCTCGGTCATCACGCCCGTCTCAATGTTGTGAAACTCTAACCGGGTGTGATCGCCCACCATCTGACCTACAAACCACAGCAGGTTGGAAAGGAAAACAAGAAAAAAGATGCTGCTATACTACACCCTCAAACAATATTACACTGCTGTACAGGCATAAAAATGCTATCATACCCTAAAACCCTGAGTCACACTCTCCAACTACTTGCTACACAGAGCGAGTTCTACAGTATGTCAGCGTAGCAATGAACCTGAACCAAAAATATGTATTTTATTGCTGTGAAACACTAAAGTAGTGTTGGAATGAGAACAACTGAAGAAATGTTATTCAAGACTATGACGCAGTTTGCCTACAAACTGGAAACTACTGTTTCCCACAATTTATCAAAATCCCTCAATCTGTATCTAAAGAATAGCTAGAACTAGTAACTCTCAAAACCTTTCACATATTTATTTCTGCAGTTTCTTGCAACAAAATTGCTTTATTAATACGCTTGAATCATCTATAGCTTCTCACATAAAATAACCCATCAAGAATTGTGTTGTCTTTCATATTGAGGACCAAGGATAGTACCTTCTGCTACGTCATCGTCAACCATTAGCTTGTAGCTTTTGCCCCTCCGGATCACGCGCACAGTATGCCATTCATTATCATTGAGTTTTTGTCCGGCATACAGTGTTTCTGGTCCTTTGCCTGAGAACGACGGTCATGAAACGTTAATGGCAACCTGAATTGTCTCTGACCAAACCTTTGCTTTTAATGAGAAAAAGTGAAAACTATTTTTGTTGCTTTAAAATTGATGCTAACTATGTTATGGCAAATCAGGTTAAATTGTTTCTTTTCTAGTTGAGATGATTAACACAAAAGAGAAAGCAGAGGTTTGGTGCAGATGTTTTTGAATATTACACAAAAACATAAGCTTTAACAAAAAACTAAAATTGTTAGCTAATTTGGTTTCCTCTGTTTTTCACAATAATCACTTTAAAACATAATCCTGAGATTATAAAATGTCTTTTACTCATAAAAGGTCTTGATACACCACTCGAGGACAAAGTTCTCACAGTTGGTTTGATAATGTTAATTATATTTGTAAATTATATATTCAAATTAACTTTGTATCCCAGTTGTGAGTATGAAAGTATAAGTTGGCAACACTGTCCAAACCAACGGCATATATGGGAAACTTGTATGAAAAAGTCAATCTTTTTGCAATTTCGTTTGGTAACACGAGTGATACAGAAATCAAATGCTTCACCTTTAAAGTCAGAATCGGAGTTAATTTACAAGCAAGCAATATATTCTTTATGATGCAATACATTTGAGGAGTTAAGTAGTCACAGAGAAGAGCAGTGAGGTGTTTTGGATTCAGCTCAGAGCGTGCTATAAAATCACGCTCCACATCCCTCAAAATCTCCTGGGAAATTGTGTTATGTACCTACCCAGCATGCAGTTATCGGTAGTTCCTGAGAAAGTATATTACCTTCCACCCTGACATTAATCAACACTTCAACACTGACATAAATATGTTTTTACCGACATGAAGCTCACAATCTGCCAACACTGACATTGTTCAGACAATGTATCATGCCTATTCCTACACCATGCCAAAAACAATATCTATATGCACTGTATAATTGCTACTTGGATATGATTCTGGGAAACATTGTCCTTTTCATAATTTCAAAACATAATAACTAAGCAGAACAACTATTAAAAGCCATAGAAGCAATTATCGTATTTTGAAAGCACAAAAATGTCGGCTCGGGTTACCAGGGTTACACTAATGCACAAATCCAACAATATCAGACACTTTCTGACCAGATTCCACTGCTGTATGCAGGTAATAATCTTAGAGCTTTTAAAAATGCAGGTCTTGTAACAAGAGCTTAAGAACTAATAGGTCTGATAAGCACATCATTATAATTAGTGGCATTATATTAATCTGAGTGATGGAAAGTGTGAACTGGTGCAGGTAAAGGGATATGAGACTAATCTACTGTAGCATGATGTGAGTGTTTGCTACTTGATTAGAATGACTGATGGAGGCATAGTTGTGAGTTACTGGTTTACTTGCAGGGCCAGGCTCTCTAGTACATCACCAAAACTCATCATTTGGCACCACAAACACTTTTTATCTAAAGTAACTTACTGTACAGTCATTGTAAGGACAGTCACACAGAATCCAGCCTGCAACCTTTCTATTATCAGACCACTGTAAGGTTAGTATTTAAATAGTCATATTATAAACAACATACAAAACCGCTCTAGAACAATCAACTATTACATGCAGATATCAAGATCCATAAGACATGCAAGCCATTTAGACAAGAGTCATTATTCATACACTTATATAGACATTCTTACCTTTCAAAGTGGGAAAATCATAGTTAGTTCATAGTTATTCAGAGTGGGTTTTATTTGTTTAAAAAATGATATAAAATATTACTCTAACATTATATCACCTTTATAGTGTATATCAAAAAATTGTCATTGAGAGAATTCAAGACCTATTTTTGAGTAAAAGCAGTGTTTGTTTTTTTTGTTTTTTTTTTCCCTAAAACTGTAGAAATGTGTTTCTTTACTAATGGTATAGTAGTACAAAAAAAGTTAAGTAACAAAATATCATGGCTAAAATAAGTGTATTATTAAACGAAGACATTTCTGTATTCCAAGAACTTCAGGTAACAACTGAACTGAATGTGCTTTTTTAGCATCATTTTTGTTTTAAGAGTTGTGTATTAAGCCATACATTAACAAGCTTAAAATTAATTGCAGTAGTTTGACTTAAAATACAGCCAACCCAGCAAACATATTAACCAAGAAACAGAAACAAACCCATATTGCATCATATCATAAAAATGTGCTGAAATTAGATGCCATTATAAAAATGTAACATTCGTTATTTTACGTTCTCTGTGTGCAAATGTATTACAATTTATTTTCAGGAACAAAAGTTGATATGTGGTGACTTTATAATGTGACTTTAAAAGCTGTACAAACTGTAGTTATTGCAACATGAAAAGATGGCAAACTTGTCTTTAAATACAATAATTAAACATATAACATGTATTTCTGCATGCACAATAATATCTCATTTTAATGCATGCACTACTTTAAACTCAAATACTGCATTCCTTACTAAAGACAGTAAAAACAAAGTAGTTTAGAAGATACCATCATCTTTTAAGTACAAATTAAGACCTTTCTATAAAAGGGTAATAGGGTAGGAAATAGATTGACATGACAGTTAAATAACAGGCCATCAAAAACAAGCCATGATTATTAAGTCACCACCATTTATAATTGTGGTAATCGTGATTGGAGAGATGCATCAACTGACCCTTTCACTAGACACAAACTCTCCTTGACTAATCGGAGGAAAAGGTACAAGACTTAAGACATTCGTTTCAACAAGAGAATCATTAGGAGCAAAATAAACTTGAGTGTTAACTTACTGGAGTTACAGTTTATCCTGATACAGTCTAGATGGGGGAAAATAAGTGACAGATGAAATTGCATCCTTCAAGGTTACAGCTGCAGACATCCAAAAACAATAATTCCACCCTTCCGGGGACGTCCACATGCAAAGAGGCGGCCATTTTTTATTATTATTAATGAAAGCATTATAATTTAATGAAAAGACTGTGCACAAAATCACTGGATTCGCTGCAATTGTCCGAGAATTAGAGATAATGTCTATGAATAAATTACTTTAATGATTATTTTGCTGCTAAATAGATTTTAAACATCAGAAAACAGATAATTGCCTTATGCAATGTTTATTTTGTAAAATTATAAAATGGCCACTTGGAGCTCACCAACCACAAAGACTATTCAACCCAGAGCTTTATTTTATTTTATTAAAATTATGCTTTTAATTCTCAGACCTATCTGAGGTCCTGCCCCATAGAAATTACACCAACTCATTAGCTAAATATGCTTTAATAGCTTAAATACATTTAGCAAGAAGTTGGTGTTAGGGCATTTTTCTTGAATATTGATCTGCAAAATAACGATTTCAAGCCTTCTCATTTTGATGGCATCATGCTCTGGGTTGGGCTCTGTGTGGCTGGATTTACCATGTGTCGTCAACCGCAACAGAAAAGTGGGAGCAAACAGCCTCGATCCAATAAGCACCAGCACCATGCAGTGGCCTCTGTACCTCCAGCTAGATCTTCCTGAGATCTGACCACTCAAATGAGTACTTAATATACTACAATCTCTAACATATTAATAATTGTGGTGGTCTTGGTTGTAAAAGTATAGTTGTAGAGGTCTGCATTGTACTAAAAGTAAAATAAGCTTGTATTTTGGAAGCTAGGGCAGTCCTGAGCGTAAATATAATGATATACATATGTATTCGGTTGTGTTCCATGGCTGGCAGGCTGTCAAATCATTCCAGATGAATTCTCTGTGTATGCAGTCATAAGACATTCTCGTCTCTTTCAGTATGTTTACAGTGTGTGGGCTATGTTTGTCTCTACTATGTTTGAGCTGTCACAGATAATCAGTCCTGTTGTCAAACCTCAGGCTGTTTCCTGCAGTGAGGTGTGAGTTATGTCACTTCCTTTAATGATGACACAGCGACTTAATGACCAGTTAGGGTCTCTCATCTCTCATCTAATGGTGTCGGGTTGAGGATTGAGAGGTGCTACCAGCTGCAGGTGAAGCTGAGAGCTCTGTTCTCGGGCTGTTTGCCGACCGGGCCGCAGACTAAGGGCCTTTGAAGGGGTGAATACCATCTTTTGACAAAGCATGGAGAATGTGTGTCAGAGAACGGGAGAGGGAGGGATAGGTGATGGTGGTTAAAAGGAAGTGATGTAACAGAAAGGAAATACCAACCAAAGCACAAATGTGGTACAAGTGGAACCAACTGAGACAGAACATGAGGTTTGTCAGAAAAGAGTTACTGAAGACATTGTCAAGTAGAAAAGATGGCAGGAATTAGTGTAAAGTTGACGATCAGAAAGTCACAACACTTGGAAAGGTTTTACAATCATAAAAAAGAATTACCCATCATTTCAAAAGTTGACATTAAAAACAAAAAATGCTATGTTGTTATGCAGTGCTGTGACTGTCTCAAAGGAGTTTTTGTCTTCACTATGACAATGATCGTGGTTAATATATTACAAAAAATGCACCAAACATTGTGTGCGTTAGGTTTGGGCAGTATGGTGGTACTATTTATGCGTCAAAAAATTTTGAAATTTTGCAATAACTTTACACCACAATAGACACATCCGCAATGAAATAAATGGTTCAAGACTGCTGTATGTTATTTACAGTTGAGAGAAATTGAGAAATTTGCGAAGTGAAAATATAGAGCAGGACGTGTCCCAAAAAATGCTAAATAACAAAATTGTACAGATTAGTTGTTTATGACTAAATTAATAAAGAATTCAAATGATGTGCGATTATAGTGCGACCATGACGGCTTATTTAATCAGAATTTAGAGTTTAAAGTATATGTGATATATATATATATATATATATATTTCATTAGATTTCATTACAATATTACATGTTTTTACCTGAAATCTCATGCAGCTAATGCCGGACTCCTTTGGTTGTTATGAATAAAGTTTTGATTAGCATCCATAAAGTTCAGAATAGAAGTATAAAGTACTATTTTAGATTTTTCCTTATATATAACTATGTTGTATATATTATATTACTTGTACAGTGATACCACCCATCCCTAACATCAATTAGTAGCCAAAATTTGAATTTACTGTCAATTACTTTATTAAGAAAACAATCAATTCAAACTGAACTCAATCAAATGTCTGGTGAACCAAGCAAATAAAGAAAAACAACAAAACAACATCTTAATATATCTTATTAATTAATGTAATGATGATGGAGGCAGAGGAGGGTGGGGCTGGAATGATGGACAGATAGGAAGAGAGAGAAAAAGAAGAAGCACTGCATCCTGAAGGAGGGTTTGTCTTCACTATGACAATGATCGTGGTTAATATATTACAAAAAATGCACCAAACATTGTGTGCGTTAGGTTTGGGCAGTATGGTGGTACTATTTATGCGTCAAAAAATTTTGAAATTTTGCAATAACTTTACACCACAATAGACACATCCGCAATGAAATAAATGGTTCAAGACTGCTGTATGTTATTTACAGTTGAGAGAAATTGAGAAATTTGCGAAGTGAAAATATAGAGCAGGACGTGTCCCAAAAAATGCTAAATAACAAAATTGTACAGATTAGTTGTTTATGACTAAATTAATAAAGAATTCAAATGATGTGCGATTATAGTGCGACCATGACGGCTTATTTAATCAGAATTTAGAGTTTAAAGTATATGTGATATATATATATATATATATATATTTCATTAGATTTCATTACAATATTACATGTTTTTACCTGAAATCTCATGCAGCTAATGCCGGACTCCTTTGGTTGTTATGAATAAAGTTTTGATTAGCATCCATAAAGTTCAGAATAGAAGTATAAAGTACTATTTTAGATTTTTCCTTATATATAACTATGTTGTATATATTATATTACTTGTACAGTGATACCACCCATCCCTAACATCAATTAGTAGCCAAAATTTGAATTTACTGTCAATTACTTTATTAAGAAAACAATCAATTCAAACTGAACTCAATCAAATGTCTGGTGAACCAAGCAAATAAAGAAAAACAACAAAACAACATCTTAATATATCTTATTAATTAATGTAATGATGATGGAGGCAGAGGAGGGTGGGGCTGGAATGATGGACAGATAGGAAGAGAGAGAAAAAGAAGAAGCACTGCATCCTGAAGGAGGGGGTTTTATACAATACCTAAGTTGACCGTGAGTTTGACGCGACTGCCATCCAGCTCTAGCCGAAGAGTATCGGCGGAGTCACGTGAGGTGGTGGCCATGAGCAGGCCGTATGCCCGCTGAGACATGAAGCGAAGGGACACGTCCTCCGCTTCAGTGTGCATCACGGTAGGCATCACCACTTTCATATACATGCTCCCGTCATAGCTCAAGATGGATGCCTCTGTGGACAAAAGAACACAAGATCGGTTTCAGACAAGTTAGAAGTAAACAAAAACTTTGCTTCTGGGAGAAAAAAATGCTCTTAAAAATGTCCTGAAGTTTTTTTGGAGTTGACAATATATTACAATATTAAAATAATGCATGGTCAAGGTGATGGCCTCCAAATATTCAAGTCATCTTCCTGAGGAAATGCATGACTAAAGCAAAGCACACTGAGTTAACAATCTGCACGAGCCTCCTACAAGTTTCTATTAACTGACTCAACAGGTAAATGAACAGATCTCTCCTGCCATGGGAAATGTTGAAGACATCTGCACTTTTCAGCAAGCTGCCACACAGATGGCCAATCAGGCACACCGCTAGGATGGGACTGATGGATACCAGCAATGCCCTTTCTCCACATCCTCAGCCTCTGACTGTTATTCACGCTCCATATGAAAGTATTAGAAAAGCCAGCCACGCATAAAATGTCTGCTTTGACTCCACAGCATGAAGACGTCCAGGTGAAAGAAAGGCAGGAATCACAGCATGTCTGGGCCGGGATTTAATAGAAGAAATTAAAGAGGCCACATAAAATCTTACTTCAGGCCCTTCTGGATAAACATATGTGAAAAAACCTGTGCAGAACAAGATGATATTAAGCTTCAATTAAAATATTCTAGTTAAAGTATTATTTTAACAAAGATCAAAATAAACAAGTTGCTCCAGATAAAATAATGCATACTACGATTTAGATTTCTTTCTTTTTTTTCCCCCAAATATAATTTAATGACTTTATTTAGCAAGGACACATTAAACTAAAAAAAAAATGACAGTAAAAGGCTTTTATAATGTTACAATAGATTTATATATATATATATATATATGTGTGTGTGTGTGTGACCCTGGACCACAAAACTAGTCTTAAGTCGCTGAGGTATATTTGTAGCAATAGCCAAAAAAAACATTGTATGGGTCAAAATTATCAATTTTTCTTTTATGCCAAAAATCATTAGGATATTAAGTAAAGATCATGTTCCATGAAGATATTTTGTACATTTCTTACCGTAAATATATCAAAACTTAATTTTTTATTAGTAATATGCATTGCTAAGAACTTCATTTGGACAACTTTAAAGGCGATTTTCTCAGTATTTTGATTTTCAATTAGTTGTATCTCGGCCAAATAATGTCCTATCCTAACAAACCATACATCAAAGCTTATTTATTCAGCTTTCAGATGATGTATAAATCTCAATTTCGAGAAATCGACCCTTATGACTGGTTTTGTGGTCCAGGGTCACACACACACACACACACACATATATATATATATATATGCTGTTTCACTTTCTAATCATTAAGACATTCTGAACAAAAATATATCATGTTTCCACAGAAATATTAAGCAGAACATCTGCTTTCAACATTGATGATAATAAATGGTTCTTGAGAACCAAATCAGCATATTAGAGTGATTTCTGAAGGATCGTGTGACTAAAGACTGGAGAGAAAATTCAGTCTGCTGAAAATTCAACTTTGCCATCACAGGAATCAATTACATTTTAAAATATATTTTTAAAAAAACAGTTATTTCAAATTTCATACTATTTCATGATATAACTGTTTTTACTGTATTTTTTGATAAAGTAAATGCTTCCTTGGTGAGTATAAGAGGCAACTTTTAAAAAAACATTTTAAATGATAAATGTAAAAAATATAATGAATAATAATAAAAAATATGAAATTGCAGACATTCATATACAGACAGGACCTGAAAGGGGTCTGAATTAAAAACTCCATCCTGAACATATGCATCCGAAATATTGATGCATAGAAACAGCTGACAAACTCTACAATTACACAGCGATCAATATGTTATTATGTGCGATTAGTTGCTTTTCAATCCTCCCTGGGGCCCCCGCCAATTTTAATTTTACACCCAGCATACTAAGTAGAGAGTGGAAAAGTGAAATCTAGGTCGTGCTGCCATCAGTGAAGACAGCGAGAAGAGAAACAGATAAGTGGGACTAACCTCTGACGATTAACTCGGAGTTAAAGCAAATCAAAATGATTTTGTATCAACGTTATTGAGCAGCGAGCTGATGCGGGTAGACAGAAACATGCCGTGGAGGATGTGAGGAGAGTGACGGGGGAATGAGGCATCAGAGATCTTCACAGGGTGGCAGTGTTTCTCAATAAGGGGCCGATGTTACACAACAGCATCCGGCAGCCATCTTGAGAGACTTACTTATGAAATTTGATACACTGCTGTTTCCTCTCAAAGTATCTCATAAATCCGTCTCAGGACACGTGAGGGCACTCATTCACTGTATTTTGCCTGTAAAATGTGGCCGTCTTTCTCTCTTTTAGATTTGTAAGCTGGGGTAATTAATGCAGATCATGTGGCTGTATAAAAATGCAGTGCACATCTGACATTACGGTATAGTATTTAAGCCCTGCTTTTGTTTTCCTATGTACATAATGAACACAAAACTTATTCAATCACATGCCTGAATGAAACACGGTTCATGAAAGTCAAATGAGCTGCAAAAAGCATTACTCATGGGAGAGGCTAATTCAATAAATAAAGGGCTGTAAGTGACATTCCATTTGACTAATTGATGACTGAATAGATGGAATGTTTAATCAGAATTGTTTTTGTTTAGTTTTTTTCTCAATGCTGCATCTGAACGTTTGGATATGTATTATCTTTCTCAAACAGATTTTTCATGCATTTATGCATTTGAGCACGCATGCACATTCAAGGGTATATGCAAGTCAGATTTCAAGCAGTGTCCTGCAGTGTGACATGCTATACTCCAGCTGAAAACATTTTTGTAATTATTTTATGTTTATTATGGATGCTGTTTTTACTTCAT